AGATAGATAGATAGATAGATAGATAGATAGATAGATAGATAGATAGAACGATAGAACGATAGATAGATAGAACGATAGATAGATAGAACGATAGATAGATAGATAGATAGATAGATAGATAGATAGATAGATAGATAGATAGATAGATAGATAGATAGATAGATGGATGGATGGATGCAGCACACTCAGAGACGTAATACGGTACTCCCAGGTACAGATGTCGTCTACACGCTAAGATCTCATGGTCGAACGCAGCTTCAAAAATTAGTTTCAAACCGGAAGTACGAATTTGCTCGAAATAACACTAAAACAATCATTTTTCACTTTTTAGTGAGATATCTGTGTTCTAATAGTGTTTTTAGCAGTGTGGGACACATATACGACTGTCAACAGCTCAACACATGTGCTTTGGTGTTTCGTGACCCTTTAAGTCCGATTGACAAACTTCGCAAATAACGGTCATTTATTTGTTTACACTTTACTCCACTAGTAACTGTTTATTAACAATGCAGTTATTCCCATCACCGTTCATCTCATTAGCATATCTCCACAGAAGCCATTCCTATTGGCTGATGAAGTCAGCAGACACAGTATCTGTATGACTCACTACTTAAACTGTTAACTTGCGTGCGTGCGTGTGTGTTTGTGTGTGAGTATGTGTGTTTGTGTGTGAGTGTGTGTGCGCGTTCGTTAACCAGCACGTGTGTGAGATATCGATCCGCAGTTCACGGAGCCTTTATGGCTTTGAGAACACACACACACACACACACACACACACACATGAGAGTTTTTCCAGGCGCCTCAGATGTATTAATGTATGCTGCCCTTTGTGTGGTGATTTCAAAGACACTTTGGGGTTTCTTATTTTAGAGCAAGTTTGAGATGGGACGAAGCCAGCCGCAGATTTTAATTAGATCGTTCAGTAATCAGAGCACGAATCACAGGAGGAAGAGACTCGTCGCAGTGAAGGGCACTTTACACACACACACACACACACACACACACACACATATACACACAGATCTCTGAAATTGTCTGTTCACTGCCTGTCTCTCTTTCTCTGCAGATAACATGGTTGATCAGACTAAAGTGGAAATCAGTGAAGCCAAGGCCACAGAGCTGGAGAAGAAGGTACAGACAAACAAGCACTCGAGAACGTCTGAATGACACACACACACACACACACACACACACTAAATCACTACCTGCTCAAACGCATTCAATGGCCCTCAAAAATAGATCAATAATGCTGGATCTGCTGTGCAACATACACACAGACACACGCGTGCGCGCGCACACATGGACACAGACATTCATTTCACACACACATTCACTGACATGCACACACTCATTCGCTCACACATGCACACACACACACACACACACACACACACACACACACACACACATCCCAGTTCACTCACTTACACACATGGACACGCACACACATTCACTGACATGCACACACTCATTCACTCACACACGCACACATACACATGCGCATTGACACACACTCATTCACTCGCACAAATGCACTGGTATTCACTTATACACATATGCACACACAAATGCACTCAGACAAACAGACACACAAACACCAATTCACACACGCATTCACTCACACAGATTCACACACACATGCATTGACTCTCTCACACACACATTCGCTCATAGAAATGCAAACACACACACACATATTTAATCAATATGTGCACACAAACAAAACACACACGCAAACACACACACATATGCATGCATTCTTTCATCATACACATATTCACTTACACACACACATACGCAAACACACACACAGATATTTAATCAATATATGCACTCAAAGACATAAACACAACACACACACACACACACACACACACACACACATGCAGTCATTCATTATACACATATATTCACTCAAACACACACATACACAAACCTTCAAACAAACACACATTCACTCACACACACACACACACACACACACACACACACACACACACACACACACACACATATTTAATCAATATTTGCACACAAACACATGAACACAACACACACACACAAAAACACACACACTTAATCAATATTTGCACATGAACCCAACACACACACACACACACACATACACACACGCATATATGCATTCATCATACACGTATGTTCACTCTCTCACTCACACGCACACAAACACACTCATACACAAACCTTCAAACAAACACGCATTCACACACACATTCACTCACACGCACACACACACTCAGACACTCAGACACACGCACGCAGCAGATCTGCTCCAGACGCCCCCCCGCTGTCTCCTCGCGCCTGTCAGATGACAGATGTGTAATTTGGGAGGTGAGACGAGCAGAACGGAGATTTCCTGTCTCTGCCTGACATCTTCCCTCCAAAACTCTCCAAACACACTCTGCAATTACCCTGCGTGTGTGTGTGTGTGTGTGTGTGTGTGTGTGTGTGTGTGTGTTTTGAATGTGTGCATTGTTGCGTGTGTGCATGTGACGTTTGTGGCATTTGTGTAGGTATGGAAAAAGAAGAATATTCCTTTTATCGTGTGCCGTTGCTTAAGAACACAGTTAAAATCAGCCTTTAGGCTGGACAGTCAGTTGGTGTCGTCAATCTGGCAACCTGCGCTTGCATGTGTTTTGAACGAGGAGTGCAATACCTAGTTCAACCACTGGGTGTCAGACTTACTGCACCTTTAAAGTGTAGCAGACGTCATATATATCCGTTTGTTTTACGTAAGCTCAACAGAATTGAGCTAATAAGCTTTGGGATTGATATTTGTTAGTTAAACGTGAATAAAACAAATAAAACGAGATTTATGTCAATAAATCCAACATATTACATTTATTCCAATTGTTATTATATTTATTCCGTTATCATGCATCCTAGTGTGTGCATACTTGTGCATGGACGTGTGTGTGTGTGTGCACGTTTTCTCTGCTGGAGATCAAATAAAGTGTTCAATAGTCTCTGCTTTACTTATGTATGTGTGTGTGTGTGTGTGTGTGTGTGTGTGTCGTCAGGCGAGTGTTTACTCTTCCTCTCTCTCTCTTCTCCTCTTTCTAATTCAGAGTAATAGCAGAGTGTCGTCAGAAGAGCGACAGCAAACGACTCTCATTACTAACACATGGAGAATGTGTGAGCGTGTGTGTGTGTGTGTGTGTGTGTATGTGACCCTTCCATTTTCAAGGCTGTCACGTAATTGCATGTCTGGCTTGCAAACAGCCGCCGTCAATGTCAGCGGAAATTGTCAGCGTCTGTCTGTGTGCGGGAGCAGGACAGATTTTGTGGAAGTTTGTGAGGTGAATACTAAAATCCCGAGAGACTCCATTTGGGCTCGCATTTGTTCTGGAGTCCGTCCTCCACAAAGCACCTTCAGTGATAAACTGAGGGTCACTGTGTAAACACACACACACACACACACGCACATCTCCTCCGAGTGTAATGGAGAACTGTGATCGGATTATAAACCAGATCTGAATGACATTTCATCAAACAGGTCAAACTGGCTCAGCGGTGTGGATACAAATGACCATGCTGCCATTCACTTTCCCTCCTAATTACTTCATTTCCTCTAAACTTTTTTTGTTTTATGTAAAAGATTATGATATATAGTATTTAATTAAGAGTATTTTGTGAGCTCAATGGGAGTGGGTGGAGCTAAAAAGCTATTTTGTTGCAGCTGCAACTCTGATTGGTGGAATTCGCTGTAGAGCATCATGGGTAATGTAGTATTTCACCACAAATTAATCTGTTAAACTTATTTTAACCCCCCCCAAAAAAAAAAATAAATAAATAAATGCAAAAATTAGTTCCTATCAGTTAGCAAACTGGTAGCTTACAAAAGGGCTGTCTTTTAGGATTTATTAGATGTCGTTTGAAATGTGAGAAATGAAATGAGTTGATCTTCAGGACCAGCCATTACAGATACATGATTGTAGGGCTTGATGATATGCGGCAGTGGTGTAGTGGTTAGTGCGTCGACAAATGCACTCCAGTGCTCACAGCGACCCGAGTTCGATTCTGCCTGGATTCTGCCTCTGCTCCCCATGCTTTCCTGTCAAAACTCTCTACTGTCCTATACAAGAAAAGTGAAAACCCAGAAAAAATATTATAAAAAAATTTATTCTACAG